ATGTGAGTCTGAAGAATTTGGACGCACCCTATGGAAATCAAAAATAGCAATAGAACACGACATTGTAATAATTATATTATCCAAACATGATGGAAATGCGCATTGCTGGTTTGGATTTCCAGAGGGCATGCCAACCAAGAAAAAAGGAGATTCCCTCACAAGAACTGGTTACTGGTTAAGAAAAAGTTGAAACCTGTGACCCGATTCACTGCTAAAGGTCATGGGTCTGAATTTGGTACCCGCAAAACATACTCCAAATGATTGACAACCAACCAGACTCCAAGCCCAGGAAAACTCAAAGCTGGTAGCTACCGTGGTGCCTGGTTGCATGAGCTAGGCTTCCCAGTGGGCAGCTTCAATCACATTGCAAGGGACTGAAAGAGGCTAACAAAATAGTCACCCTTAGCACCCTTAAACTGAGGGCCTCATCAATCAAACATATGTCTTTGTATATTCATCCAAAACATACATATTACATCATATTACCATGGGAACATGGAGGCAAAATAGGTAGACCAGGTAGACATCCAGCCATCCAGCCCCTCGCTGCCAAAGGGCGTTGCCAAGTTTCGTGGGAAACACGCTGTGGTCGGGACGAATAAAGCCACACTCTTCAGCCAGTCAATCCAATTCCTCGGAGCCACTGTCCTGGTGTACCCCACATGTGCTCAGCTGGTAAACATAAGTAAGTCCAATATATTTTGGCTTTAAGGTACACGCACACACATATATATATACACCTAATGATCTGATCTATCTATCTATCTATCCATCCATCCATCTATCCATCTATCCATCTATCCATCTATCCATCTATCCATCTATCCATCCATCTATGTATCTATCTATCTATCTATCTATCTAGCTATCTAGCTATCTAGCTATCTAGCTATCAATCTATCTATCTCTCTAGCTATCTATCTATCTATCTATCTGTCTATCTGTCTATCTGTCTATCTGTCTATCTGTCTATCTGTCTATCTGTCTATCTATCTAATCTAATCTATCTAATCTATCTAATCTATCTAATCTATCTAATCTATCTAATCTATCTAATCTATCTAATCTATCTAACCTATCTAACCTATCTAATCTATCTAATCTATCTAAACTCTCTTATCTATCTATCTATCCATCCATCCGTCCATCTATCTATGTTTGTCTATCTTTGTCTACATTGATCTATCTTGATCTATCATTATCTATCATTATCTCTCATTATCTCTCATTATCTCTCATTATCTGTCATTATCTCTCATTATCCCTCATTATCGATCATTGTCGCTCATTATCTCTCATTATCTCTCATTATCTACCAATATCTTTCATTATCTCTCATTATCTACTAATACCTCTCATTATTTATAATGATCTATCATGATCTATCATTATCTACCATGATCTATCATGAACAATCATGATCTATCATGATCTATCATGATCCGTCATGATCTATAATGATCTATCATGATTTACCATGATCTATCGTAATCTATCATGATCTACCATTATCTATCATTATCTATCATTATCTATCATTATCTATCTATCTTTCTATCTGTCTATCTATAGATCTATCTATCTATCTATCTATCTAACTAACTAATCTTATCTATCTATCTATCTATTTATCTATCTAATCTATTTATCTATCTATCTATCTATCTAACTAATCTTATCTATCTGTCTATCTGTCTATATATCCATCTATCTATCTGTCTATCTATCTATCTATCTATCTATCTATCTATCTATCTAATCTATCTATCTAATCTATCTATCTAACTAATCTTATCTATCTATCTATCTATCCATCTATCTACCTATCTATCTATCTATCTTATCTATCTAATCTATCTAATCTATCTAATCTACCTCTCTAGCTATCTATCGATCTATCTATCCATCTATCCATCTATCCATCTATCTATCTATCTCTATCATTATCTATCATTATCTTTCATTATCCATCATTATCTATCATTACCTGCCATTATCTATCATTACCCATCATTACCTGCCAATATCTTTCATTATCTTTCATTATCTATCACTGCCTATCATTATCTGTCATTATCTACCATTATCTATCATTGTCTACAATTATCTATCATTATCTATCATGATCTTTCATGATCTATCATGATCTATCATGATCTATCATGGTCTATCATGATCTATCATTTATCTATCATTTATCTATCATGATCTATCATGATCTATCATTATCTACCATGATCTATAATTATCTATCTATCTATCTATCTATCTAATCTAATCTAATCTAATCTATCTATCTATCTATCGATCTTATCGATCTTATCGATCTTATCGATCTTATTTATCTATCTATCTATCTATCTAATCTAATCTAATCTATCTATCTATCTAATCTAATCTTATCTTATCTAATCTAATCTATCTATCTATCTTATCTATCTTATCTATCTTATCTATCTTATCTATCTCATCTATCTTATCTATCTTATCTATCTATCTATCTAATCTATCTATCTATCTAACTATTTATCTATCTATCTATCTGTCTGTCTATCTATCTATCTATCGATCTATCTATCTATCTATCAATCATTATCTAGCATTATCTATCAATCATGATCTATCAATCATGATCTATCATTATCTATCATTATCTATGATTATCTGTCTATCATTATCTATCTATCACCATCGATCCATCATGATCTATCTATCTTGATCTATCTTTATCTATTGATCTATCTGTTTTTTTAAATTCTATCTATCTATCTATCGATCTATCTATCTTTTTATCTATCTATCCATTTATCTATTTATCTATTTATCTATCTATCTATCGATCTATCTATATCTATCTCTCTCTCTTAAATGGGTGTTATAAACTAACTTGTAACTGGGGGTGAAAAACCATGTGCGGTTAACCACCAGTAATTGCCAGTAACATCCTCGAAAGAAGTAGCTTCCAGATTTCTGTTGGGATGTTTGCTGATCCACCTAATCAATGACCACAGGCAATCTCAACATCCCAAATGAAACTCCGCAGCACCAAGAGAGAGGATTGCAATGTTTTGATTGAAACAGCCTTTTGGTCATGAATAACCACGGGTAGCACATGAGATTCCCATCCAAAACACATCGACCCAATCCTACCAACCTGCCCATTCCGATTGCTACCCGTAGCTATCCCTAGGATAAATCCCCAGTTGACCAATCAAGGGGATCACCCCAAATTTCTCCCAATATGGAACCAACCAAAACTTCAACAGCAGGCATCGAATTCAAAAACAAACAAAAAACAAACTTCTTCACGACTTCCATAATTTCCATCAGGATCAGGATCGTGTTTCTTTTGTTTGTGGGGCCAGTTGTTGGGTCCCTTGACAACCTCAAGGGGTGATCATTTTTCTATATTTTTCTTCCAGGATCTTCACGATGATCAGAAGTTTGGTGCGCTTCATTTCCGCCAAAATCTGTCTGCCGCGGCTGTTCAGCAGCAGGTTGGGTTCCTTAATTCCGTGCTGAACGATCCTGCTCCGTCGGCCGCCGGGGCGCGGTGGACCGCCCAAGGGAGCCACACGGGGAATGAGGTGCTCCAAGAGGGAACGCCGAAACCTTAGTTATGACAGTAGGATGAATACCCAAAGGGGGCTGATAAATCTTTCCAACTGGTGATTTAATCAGGGAAAACATAGAGGAAGCTGGTGGTTAATTAGCATTTAAAACGGAACAATCAAAACCAGTGAGCCATTAGGATTTTACTCGGATGAATGAGAATTCACCAAACCTGACGAAATACAGTACTATATAGTATTTAAAAGGAATTTTATAGTATTATACCGAAACATTTTTCAATATTATATAGAATTATATAGTACTAAATTGTGTTAAATAGAATTATATAATTATATAGTATTAAACACTAATATGTAGCATAATATCGTATTATAAAGTATTATATAGTATCATATAGTCAGACGCGGGCATCCTAGAACTGACAGGTAAGCATGACAGATTTCACACAATGTTTTGCTGGAGGCTACGTGTCATCCACCTGCACAAAATGACACTTGAGATCACCACCCCACAAAAAACGGCAAAGAAGAACTGGTTGTCGAAAAAAAAGGACAGCCAGCAATGGGATTATCATCCCATTTCTATGGATGAACAATATTTACAAAATTGTAGCCTCCTGCAATCAAACATGGCACTTGGAATCCTATATGCATGGGGGTGTTAATTGGATTCCATCATTGGACCCAATGGGCGATTTACCAACAATCAAACAATGACGGCACCGGAAGGTGGATGCTCAATATCCCCTGTATGTGTTGCTATGTTCCAATATCTGTAATACCGGGTTCTTCAAGAAAAAAGAGCCAACCAACATGAATTCTAGCGAGGACAGTTAGACACCCCTGGTCCACAAATTTCGATGTTGTGTGAGGGCAGTGCTTGGCGGAGCCTTCAAAAGAAACAGCCATTCTTGCTCCGGCCGTTGAGAAGCGATGGTTCGCAACATTGATACAGGGGGTTAGGGGGCTTCCGGTGCATGTTGAACCTTTTTGGTCGGTGGCGTTTTTTGATTAGCCCGGAATGAACCTAAAAAACAATAGTCATTGAGGATCACCGTCCCATTTCGTTCAAAAACATACAAAAAACATGGTCGTTCAGATGCTAACTTGTAGCCCTCCGTAATTAATCAAACATGACAAGCTGGAAAACCTACATAATCCCTTCCCCCTAATACTAAGCCACCCCCAAATAATAAAAACTAGGGTCCATCTTTAATTTTGGAAACTTTCAGGTTGGCCAATTTGACTTTCAATTGATCCCCTTTAGAAAACAATCTAAAAATCAAGCTACCATTTGTGGGTTTCGCCACCGACTAATAAAAATTAGTTAACCCCGGGGTGTTTCTTATTAGGGTCCGTCCGAAAATTTGAGTTTTTATACTAGGATTTTTAATTTAATATTAGGGGTAAGCTTCGAAATGCAATTTTTGGCAATATTTTAATTGGGTTGCAAAAGGAAATTGAATTGATGTTGAATTCGGAAAAAAAAGTTTTTTCAATAAGGGTTTAAATTTATTAGGGTCCGCTTCGAAAGCCAATTTTTGGCAATATTTTCATTGCGTTATAAAAGGAAATTTAATTGATGTTGAAATCGAAAAAATGTTTCTTTTTATTATAAGGGTTTTAATTTATTATTAGGCTCCGCTTTGGTTCCCTAATAATTTATACCACCCTAATAATGAAAACTACCTGAGGTGTTTATTATTTGGGGGACGGTTGGTACTAGGGGGAAGGGATTAAATTGGCTTTATAGATAGGAACATCACTGAATTTGACTAGATCGAAAAAATGTCCGTTGCCATGTTTGATTACTGGAAGTTAGTTCAATCCATCTTTTGTTATTATTATGGTTGCTTAGTTTCCATGTATTTGATATCCCCGTTCATGCCCCCATTCATTTCCCCTGAAATCCTGATTTTTCACGGTTAAATCAAATCATGTGAAATCCAGCTAGTCTGATCAAAAAAACGATAACTAATTCCAAATATACATCCTCTTCATGTCCGATGAATTCCCCAATTTAAGAATAATATTGACATATATTGACTATATATCCAATCATAGAACTCCGGAAAATTTTCCAACTCATTTGACCACGGTACAAATAGTCAAAGGCTCCTTCCCGGAAGTTATCGCTCTCATCACGGATCAGCCGCAAGCGTGGATGGCTGTCCAACCACGCAGCCAGACTGGTGGTGCCACTTCGGCCAAGACCTATGATGGCCCAGTCCACCTGCACCAGGTCGTTGTCTCAGTGGGGGTGGATGGGGTGGAACATGTCTAGAAAGCCATTGTTTCTTAGACATATCTCATTGATGTCAGGAAAAAATGAGAGGAAGCCAATTGTTTGCGACCCCCTAACATAAAATTTCTAAGAGAACAACTACAGAACGGGTTTCTTACTCCCAAATATAGAAGGTTCTGCCAGTTTTTCCCTCCAACCAATTCTGGGAGTTTTTAGGGCAGATCGGCAGTGCGAGAATCAAAGCACCCATCGATTCAGGTGATGAAATCCCTTCAGAAGACTGGGGCATTGATCAATACCTGTACGGCGATAATGCTAACCCCATGTTTCAGAAACCCCCAGTCTGATTATTAATAGGGGGTACCAAGTCAAATAGTGATTTGAGGGCTGGGCATCGAAATCCATTTGAAACCATCTGCTTCACCGACCAGCAAGCTAGAATGGTAATATATAGATATTCGAAAATCCACATGAAACCAAATGGGACGTTCACCAGCAACCCGTTACAGAAGAAACGTGCCAAAATAGCAGTGAAAGCAGTTGGTGCATCAAAGTACGCTGCAGCACATAATGAAAACCTCCCCGTGTCATCATCTTGAAACCAAATGAACCCAGGTCGTATCACCCTACCATGTGGTTCCAATCCCCATATCTGTGGGAACATTGCTGGTGAAATCATGTTAAATCACCAATTGTCCATTGTCAACCTTTGATACCCTGCATTCGTTGGGGCTTGTTTGATCATAGTCTTTGACCTATGGGAAGAGATAAAGGCACCCATCACTTCGGTTTTCCCTGGTCAAATTACCACCAATTAATAAGGTGGTGACCGCCTGAGGTCCAAATTGGTTTACAATCCCCATGAACTAGTTGGGTGTATCTATCATAGAGGCCCAACTAGCTTAGCATCACACATGGGCATCACATCGATACAGTTGATATCCATGCGTGTTTGCCTTACATCCCAGTTATATCAACTTTTTGTATCTTTTTGTTAGCTAAAACGTCCCTATGGATCCAAGTACCTTCTGAGGAAGTACATAAAGGACATTAGGGAATGATTTGAGGGGCTAGCCGGCTAGCCGTACTTTCTTAGGAAGTACTTGGATGCATAGCGCATGTTAAAACCATCGAACCTATAAACCGAGAACCTGCAGTTCAGATCGATGCATCAATTCCGTGGCTTTGACACTGTCTGCGTCGATCTCAACGTCAGGGAAGCTGGAACTCATCATCAGTCCTCCAGGGAGGACTAAAAAGGGCAGTTCATTATCAAACATGGGTATATATAAATTATAGAACTTAAATATTTTGAAACTGACACATTATCAATGTTATCATTTTGGGATTCCATTCGCTATCATTTTCGATTTCCATGACCAAACTAGGTTTAACTATTATAAATTGATGATATTTTGGCTCGTTCATGGTTTGAAAAAAACACGTGGAATTACCTTCTCAACAGTCAGGTTGAAGCAGCGGAACCAGTCAAAACATGCAATTAAGAATAGTAAGATGAGAACATCCGGGCACATGGGACTCCAACAATCTCATTTCCGCAATTTTCATGGTTGAACGCATTTTAAAAAACATGTCCCAAATCTCTGGGTTGAACGTCCCCGTCCAAGTCGATACTTCATGATTTGCTCCAGAGAAGCACCCCAGGTTGTCTGCAAAGAAGGGACGCACATCCCAAGTCTCAGCTCTGCTGTTGGGAAGCGGTATGAGCCAACATGCGAAGGACAACCAAATAGGAGAGGGACACGGATCAAAAACACATGTCAATGCGCCAAAAGGATTCATATGCGTGACAAGCATGTGCTCATTCAGAATCATTTACAGTAATTAAATTTAAGTATTGCTGTGAATTCTGGTGAAATCGTGTTGGTTTCATATTTTATGGTTGAGGGGCTAGATCTATTTGAACCCCTGCAAATCTTCAAGCTGAGTTTTCCACATTATTGGTGATAATCCCCACAGGGTGGTGCCCCCTAGCTGTAAGATTGTGTTTTTTTTAGCAGGCAAAAATTGGACAAGTGTTGTTTCGTGGTGAGCCGCCTGAAGGCAAAGTGCGGGGTACCTCTGGACAGCTACAAAATCTGAAAAGCAACGTCATTAGCCAAAATCGACCATGAAATGAGGTGGTAGCTGTTTTTCCCTATTTAACCAGATAGTGCCCGGCACATGCCGGGGCGGAAGGTTCGAAAATCGAACATGGCTATAGGAAATCAATGGCCTATATAGGAACGTTTTTGCGGCGCAGAAGCAGCGAAGTGAAGAAGAATGAGCAAATGGTTGTTGAGATGACGATGAAATGAATGAATCCATGCTGCACAGCTCATTGAATAAACCTGTGAATCAAGGATTCAGCGATTCAATGAACCAGTGGGTCAACGAATCAACAAACCAAAAAATCAACCAATCAGTGAATCACAGAAGCAATGGCAATGAACTAATGAATCAACAACTCACTGACACAATGAAACAATGAAGCAACAAATCAATGAATCAATGGATCATTGGTTCAACGCTTCAGTGAGTCAATGAGTCGATGAAGGAATGAATCAGTGAGTTATGAGTTAACATACCAATGAATGAATGAATGAATGAATGAATGACTGAATGACTGCATGACTGCATGACTGCATGACTGCATGACTGCATGACTGACTGACTGACTGACTGACGGACGGACTGACTGACTGAACGAACCGTTGAACCAATGAACCACGGACGATCGAATCAATGAACCAATGAATTTTGTCAACCTCATCCTCCAAAAGTGCTCCGATCTCCTGATTTTTTTTGCACTGCTGAAGTGCAAATAAAAACTCGGCACCGTCTCGCGCGCATTTTGCCAACTTCATTTTCCAAAAATGCTCCGATCCCCTCAGGTTTCTTGCGATTTTGAAATGCAAATCGAGCTTTCGCTACAGTCATGTGCTCATTTGGCCGACCTCATCTTCCAAAACTGCTCTGAACGCGAGAGTTTTTTTAACATGTTGAAGTGCAAACCGAGCTCTCGCTACAGTCCTGTGCACTTTTTGTCGACAACTTTCCCTGATCGCAGCCAGCAAGAAGAGAAACATAGACCCCACTTCGGCGACCCATGGAGCCACATCATTAAAAAAACACAAGGTTTCTCGCCCGATAATGTTTTCACCCGTGAATTCACGCGCTCCCGAACTGTTAATTACTTCTCTACTGCTCTGACGTGCAAACTGCTCTTCCTCACTATTTTGTCGACATGATGAAAAGACTTCCCCTGCATCTTCATCCATAATTTGGAAGTTTTCGAACTTAACTTCCTTTGACCATAGCTACGCTACATTTAATGACCCGTGATCCTATAGTTGCCATAGTTATCAACCAACTTCGCGTTCACAAACTGGACTCTTTGGTCGGGGAACGCGTAGCCAGCAGCCGACTCGCTGATGCCGTTGAAGTACATGCCCATGTAGCTCCCGGCTCCTTCCTTGCAACGCGAGTAGTGCATCAAAGCGGCCTGCGTCGATGGGATTTTGGGGGTCAACCGAGCCGCTCAGTCCACAACTGGTTGGTGAAGAAGCGGGCTCCCAGCTCATGGATGATGATAATCCGACTTAATATTGGGTAGTATATCCACCTATCATCAACCAATCATCAGTTGTCAATTGTATCCCAATATTCACCGGTAAAAACCCATAATTTGTGGCTCACGGCCACAAACATATCAACCAACATTCGGTGATTCGCAGCCACAATCCCACCTCCTGGTGAACGGCAAACTGTGAGCCCGAACCCAAGTCATCTTCCGGCAAACTACCTGAGAGTTCAGCAGCTTGCCACCATCACCACAAGGTGGTGCCCCAGTTCGTTCGCTAAGTTGGTATATAGATCCAGGGTTTATAGTAGATTTAGTAGATATATCATGATATATCTGTATTATATAATATATATGCTTTGTTGAGCCATCTTATAACTAGGAAGCACGGCCTTGCACTGGATGAAATTGGACGGAACACATGGAACACATAGGTATAGGAACACAAGAAAAGGATAGAAAAGGCACCATTTTGTCTTTGATCAAGTGATGCCGATACACTATCTACTATGGATTACATCCCCATGTGGGCGCGGAACACAGAATTGCAAGTTTGGGCTGGGCCAAGACTAAAGACGTATTTATGTCAACCCCGGATTAATAAACCCTGTGTGAAGATATGGAAAGTGATCTTCGTGTTTCAACCGCTCGAAGTGTTGAACACAACTGGAAATGAACAAGTGCAACGTGCAAAGCAAGCACTTCTGTTTTCTCTGCGTTGCCATATGATTGGTAATGCTCAAGGGCCCTGTGGACCCGAATGAATAGTGCCGATGCACCACAAAAGCCCAAATGCAACGGGCGATGCAGGCAGGTCCCAAATGTAAATGATGTTCCCGATGACTTCCTGGCAATCACTGAGTTTGCACTGATTTGGTGGCACCAAATTCACATTGGTGGAAAAAGGGAAATTGCCAGAGTCATCAGTCACCGCTGCTCGAATGCAAATCTCGGATGCAATGTGAGCAAAGTGTAAGCCTTCTGATGCCACCGGGATTGGCATGCCGAAGGGAATCACATTCTGGTCTTACATGAAATCTTTCACCGGCTCGGCTCACCCAAAGTGGTGTCGATGCCAGGTCTCCTTGATAGTAGTCAATCCATTCCTGCAAATCTGTGATCTTGTCGTCCTTGTCATGGACTTGTTGGGTAAGCATGTTGATTCGATGACGTTGATTTTCCAGGTGCTGGCGCATCTTTGGAATCTCACCGTCCGGTTCGGTCTGTGTCGAGGTGCTCTGCAAGAGCGGGGAAACTGTCCTGGTTGAGCCAAAAGAGCTCCTCAGGGACCATGTCATTCGTTGAAAGAACTGCCAAATGAGGAAAATAAAGATGATGATGAAAAATGTGAAGATGATGTCAAGGAAATGGTCATGTGAAGAATCTTCACCTCGAACTGGCACAAGCTGGTTGGTCAAAACCACGTAGCCCAGGCTGCCTTTGTGGACCATGCGTCCAATGGCATTGCGACGCGCTGATGCTTGTCGTTCAGCTTGCGTCTTTCGTTTTGCTGCCTGAAAAGTTTGATCAGCTTGAAGGGAAATCAGGTGTGTTCTGATACGGTCGGCCAAGAGCTGTCGCGCCGCAATCTTGGTGACACCATCAGCAAGCTGGATCTCTGAGCTGATCCACCGGAGTTTCGTGCCAATGTCGTCCATCTTCTGCTTGACAATCATGATTTCAATCTTGGTGCGTTTGTCTCCCTGAAGTTGGGGAACTTCGGCTTTGATGCTGTCGAACAACGCCTTTGCGTCAATGACCAGTGCTGATTGCATCGCAATGTCTTGAGTGTCCAGGTAGCGCAAATCAAAATCATGCACCATGCATCCATGCCAAAAGATCATGAGATACTCCAAGGCATCCATGGCAGCTGAGCACGCTTGAGCTTCAGAGTTCAAACTGCTCCTGCTGATTCGTGGTAGTTTGAATGAGCGCCAATCAAGAATGATATAAGGCTGGTCCATGTGTCCTTGAAGAACCTTAGAGTGCATGAGGAGAACAAAGTATCCACCCTGGGACTCGGAATTGCGTCTCACTCCCCAGGCCGCGTCACTCAATGCTACCATGCAAAGATCAGTGAGCTTTCCAAGTTGAGTGAATTTCAGTCCAGTGTCTGCATTGTTCTTGGAGAACCTTAGGAGCTTGTTGGCCTGTTGGGCTGTTGACACCCTTGCTTGAGGAACTTCTCCGCATAGAAGACTCACGCTGGCGCGCAGATGGGGTGCGCTTTGGGTAGCAGGCCACTGGAGACCTCCAAGCAACGCACGCAACAGGCTAACTTCTTTTGGACTGAGTTCTCGATCTTCTTGATTGCCGTCTGCTAAGGTGATGGGTTTCATCTTCACGATGTATTCTTTCTGATGAAGCAACCATCCAGTCTCACTGGGTGTGAGATGACATCCACAGAACTCCAGCGTCTCATTTTCACCTTGTTCGCGCCAATGCTTGAAGGTGAATTCGGCCTTCAGTCGTTGCTTCGCCTCTTGATATCGCTCATGGCTTTCGTCACCTCCTCCTAGAAGGTCATCAACATGTAGACCAATCATCGAGATGAGATCTTGGCCATGATGCAACAAATAGAGACATTGATCCAAAGCATGCGGCTTATAGCCGATGGAGATCAATCTGCGTCGAGCAACGACAAACCATTGTCTGGGAGCATCGGCTTGTCCATATATGGGTTTGAGAAGCCTCATGAGTGTGCCAGGTGGCACTCCTATCAGTTGGCAAGCATCCTTTGGGATCTTGGCCCACAGGATTCTAGTCTGAGGATCACCCTGAAGGAAGGCAGTGGAGACGTCTGAGATGAACAGCTTCCACATCGAGCATGTTGCTATTGCCAAGAGGCACTGTCGTGACGACCTTGCCAATGTCGGTGATGAGGTGTTCAACTCACCTTGAAGCAGGTCTGGGTCGCCAAAGCCCTGAAGTACTAGCCGTGCTTTGGCTCTTCCATCGCTGGTCCACTTGAGGACAAAACGAGCTTTCATAACTCGTCCCCAGTCGACTTTCTCAGGATGTAGTTCAACCTCCCAGACATTGTGCTCAAAGATGGCTGCAAGCTCAGCCTTCTTGCCCTCGACGAAGGCCAAACGATCTTCCAAGCTCATCTTGCTCTCTCGGAGATCTGCAGATTCTTTCACGGCCTTTCGCTTTGGGAAAGCTTGAGCTGCCCAGATATGACCTCGGCATCGAATTGTCTGGTTACTCTGAAGCTTCTGGGAAAAGTCACCCAAGTAGTATTGGCCTCGATTCTCAGCAGCTTCCTTGGTCAGGGGATAGAGTGTCTTCCCAAACCACTGGTCATGTCCCAGTTGAACAGACTCGGAGTCATTGACATAGACCTGTCTTGATCCACGCTGCAAAGTCAAGCCAGTCGTGGTTTGAAGTTGGTCTTGAGGAATTGGAAATTCTTCAGCCTGGAAAGTGTGGGTTCTGCTGAGAACATGGTTCCGGACAAGGAAGCCATCCTCATAGCTCCAGTAGTCCACCGTGTCGCCAAGGTAGAACTCTTGTGTCTTGGAGTCAAAGTACCATCCTTCGGGCAATGCCGTGGATTCTTGCCCTTCTCCTCCGCAAAAGAGATCAACGTGCATCTCAAGTTCTTGATCTTGTTGACGTGCACGCTTGACTCGCTGTTGCTGTTCGCCTTCAGGGCGGTCATGAACAGGCGGAGGACGATTTCTCATCCAGATGGTCTCTTGTTGTTCAAAGCGACGTCGTTGTTGTCTGAAGGTTTCTCCTTGAGCTGGTATGTATGCTGGATCTCGCAGGTGCATAGGCGGTGCACTGCCAGCAGCCACAGATGGCTCAGATTCAAATTCTTCGTCTTGAGGCACTGGTACTTCGTGAGGAAGTTGTGCTTCAATCTCGGTTGGCATCAGTGTGTCATCCGGGTGTGGGTCACTTGGATCAACAGGGGGATTTGCTGTTGAGTTTGTGGGTTGAGGTTGTATGTCCGGTTGCACGGAATCAGGTTCCTGTGGTACTTGAGAAGGTTGTTGGTGTTGTTGATCTTGCTGCTGTTGTAGGGGAACAGGTTGTTGTGGTACTTGCACAGGTTGTTGGTGTAGTTGATCTGGCTCATGGATCTGTTGATCTTGAAGGTCTGGTTGATCTTCGGGTGAGCTGATCTCGGGCTCCAACTCTTCTAAGGTGTGTTGATTAATCCTTCGTAGGTCAACTGTGCGAACAACTCGTCGTTGGCGAAGGCCAGCTAGTGCTTGTTCGGCACGCTGTGATCCATTGACCAGTCCATCGTCGCTCACCAGTCGACGAACGTGCTGTCGGCTTGCTCGGAGAAGCACTGTGCCATGTGCCAGCCAGTAGGTGTCGATGCAGCCAGTGTCAGGGTCTGTCTGGACGGCGACAACCACTGCTGGTCCCTTCCATTGGACGGTATGGAAGCGGTTGCCCGTTTCTCTCCAATACAAGCAGCGCTCTCCTGGTTGAAGATCTTCGTCATTCCCAGTGAATCTTCTCAGCATTGCCCTCCTGAGCTTCACGTCGATCTCAGCTTGAGCACAGGCATGTTGGGCCTTCGCTTTCAGCTCCAATCTTCGACGAAGTCGATCTTGCTCCGTTTGTTGAAGCTGAAGTGGACCAGTTCGGTCATCTGAGATCAGTCCAGGCAAGTTTGGCTGTCGACCCAGGGCTAGCTGCATTGGAGTGTAGCCATTGACGAAGGTGCTCTGATTGAGACAGGGCACTGTCCAGGAGAGAGCTTGTTGAAGACCATCTAAGGTGTAGAGCTTGTTCTCGGCCATGAATATGGAGAGGGATTTTCTCAGCAGCTGATGTCGACGTTCGACGACAGAGGTCCTTGTATGGGCTTGGCCTGGAGATATGCGCATCTCAATGGCATGTTCCCCTGCCCATTGGGCCATTTCATCACTGCCCCATCCTGACCACTCATCCACACTAAGCTGCTTCGGCGGACCAAAAATTCTGATCCACTCCCGCTCCAAGGCCTTTCGCAATGAACCACTTGTCTCATCAGGGATGGTTCGTGCTGCCATGTACCTGGTGGCGGTGTCAATCATCACCAGGACTGCAATCTTTCGGCCTTTGGAAGTGGTTGATGTGGTATTTGGAGCGCCATCAATGGAGCTGAGGTCAATCCACATGGTGTCAACCTGCAGTTGCTCGTTGAACTCGGTGGGTCTTTCTGCATGTGCTGGTGCTGATTGTTTCTTGACCGCGAACTTGTTGCAATAGGGACATTCCATGGCCTCTACCGCTGCAATGACTTTGGGACTGCACTTCTTGGCCTGCAACATCTTGACAAGAGTTTCCTTCCGTGGGTGTCCAAGATTTCGATGGAGCTTGTAGGCCAGTCTGATAGCTTCGTGGCTGTGTTGAGTGCCAAGCTTCCGCAGAATGCCAGTAAGCTCTTGTACCTCTTGATCTTGTTGAACTGCGTAAGCCTGTTCAGACAGTCCTTCGTCATGCATGAGAGCCCTGGCAATGTGCCAGGAAAGCTCTGCTTGGTAGTTCTCGGTCTTCTTGCATCGATTCCCACCTTCGAGCTTTGCATGTTGATGATCGCCAGTGCAAAGTCGTGACATGATCTTGCACATGGCTCGCTTCGTTGTGTGAATTGATGTCGGTTTCTTCACGAGCCAATCCTCGTTGTCGATCTTGAGAGAGGTGCCGTAGGAGCACTGATCGAAGGCTGTTCGTTCGCCTGGAAGGTTGTTCAAGGCTGGTGTTTCCCAGGCCAGGCTGCCCTTGGGATGTTCTACATGGGCATGGGCTCCTCGACGCACTTGTCGCAGGTAAAGCTTTCGACAAAATTTGAGGTGAACTTCATGATCATAATGCCGTCGCTCTTGAAGGTCCTGCCAATCCGCATCGTTGTGGATGTTGATGGCTTGCATCTGGCTCCACAAGGTGCATTTTGGAGACATGTAGATCTCATCAGGTTCAAGTTCATCGGCCATTTGCAAGAGCTGGCGCCGATGAGATGACTTGGTAAAGTCCCAGCCGTTGTGAAGCCCAAATCGCATGACTTCGGCACCCATGAGTTCAGCCATTTCGCCAAGAAGACCTGTGCCACTGTAGACCTCCCAAATGAGCTTCTTCCTGGGTTGAGCAGGATCTCGAGCTTCATTCGCCAGAGCTGCTGTGCGACGATTGGTTGCAGTCAGTTGGCCCTGCATCCAGACCCATGTCTTGGTCATCGCACATTGGTCTCGTTCGACCACTTCATCCTTGCTGAAGATCTCGTCAGAGGCGTCGTCCTCCACGTTGATGTAGCTGTCAACTTCATAGAAAACCTCATCATCAGGATCTTCGGCGAACTGAACCTCGGACTGCATCTCGTCGTATCGACTTTCGGCTCGGAGATCTGTCAAAAAATCTCGTAGGCGCTCGGATTTGGAGTGATCATCATCTTTGGCTCGCAAATCAAACCGAGGATCTCTGAAATCGGAGATATTCTGCACATTGTCAGCCAGCTTGAGAAGCATTGCGTCCTGCTTCCCACGCTTGATGTTGGTCCATTGACCGCCCAGGATCCTCATTTTCCCAGTTCCAAAGTCCACCACCGCTCCAAGCTGTTCCAACACTGGACGACCCAAGAGCATTGGAGTTGCCCCAAAAATGACAAAACATTGCATGCGCCCAGGCGTGTTGGAGATGAAGACGGGGAGCTCGACCATCCATCGTGAGTGTCCTTCGGCGTCACCCCCAAATCTGAAAGACTTGTCACAGCGCTTGAAGACAATGTCATCCATAGGATACCCTTTGATCTCCAGCCACTTGAGATACCGCAGGATGTACTCGCTGCCAGCCAAGAAAGAAGATGCGCCCTGATCTTGGATGCACATGTCCGCATCCTTGGTGATCCAGCCACCAGCTCGCACCAGTGCTTCGCCCTGTGCGTAGGCCTCTTCAGTCTCAAAGAACTCATCAGTCTCGCCAGGTGAAGAAGACTGCTGATGGAAGACCATGTTCACCATGGGATCAAGATCAATGACACGCTTCTTGCTGGAGCCCGATGCCGAAGAGCTCGAGGGTTGAGTGCAGTTGGCCGCTCGATGGCCAGTTTTGCCACAACGCAAACAAACATCTTTGCCAAAGAAAGACTTGGCTCTAGCCTTAGGACCCTTACCCTTAGCATACGGTGGAGCTTCGGTGGGTTTCTTTGACTTTTTGCCCTTGCCTTTCGGACTTCCAGCGCCTGACGCAGCAAGAGGCATCTGCTTGTTGTCCATGAGAGCCACAACTGGATAAAAGCCTCTGGCCTGACGAAGCTGCTGTATGCGCTGCTTGGCATCGGTGTAGGCCGTGTAGGCCTCATCATACTCTTGGATGTCAAAGAGCGATTCATCCTGGTAGGACTCTTCAGTCTCATAGTAGGTATCATCCCACGTCTCATCATTTGGATCATGGTATTCTTCATGGTCAGGTGACTCGCCAGCTGCATCCCAGTAGACCTCGTCGGTCTCATAGTATTCTTGCCATTCACTCCCATCATCATATGAATCATCAGCATGCATGATATGTTGACGGCCCTTGCCCTTCGCAAAGCCCTTGGCCTTGTTGGTGTTGGGCAAGTAGGTCTGCCTGTAGTCCTGGCCGAACACCTGATACATGCTCTGCTCGACATTCTTCAGGGTGAGGTTTCTGCCGACCTGAGTTTGCACAAGATGCTGCTGATCCTTGGTGAGTGCGGCACGCCTCAGAAGCAGCCAACCTGTGATCTCATCAGGCAAAGACACCTTCAGACGTGAGACTTCCCTCAAGGCTTGATGAAACTCTGTGACATACTCCATGAGAGTTTGGCCAGTCTTCCGTTGAACCTTGAAGAAAAAGGTGTCGAAAATGTTGCTAGTTTCCACTCGGTCATCATACTGCCACTGTTTGTCTAAACGTGCTAGAAGGACATCTAAACCGTTTTCATCTTCGAGTTCTTTCAAGTCTATGTCCTCACACTGTGTCCAGCTGGAACCTTCTAGGATCGCTAAGACATTCATTCCGACTTCTTTTGCCCTGCCCTGGATCGCCAAGCGTCTGGAATACAAAACCACACGCTTTCTCCACTCCTTGTACCCGGTCAAGGTGTTGTCAAAGCGAGGCACGAAGTTGTCTTTGACATACTGTGATTCGCTACCAGAAGGTGCTGAGCCCGATGCCGTAGGTCTCTTCGGAGATTGCGACATGGCTACAGCACAGGGTATGGAGCAGGAGCTTCGTAGGCTCCGCAGCCAATGTGAAGACATGGAAAGTGATCTTCGTGTTTCAACCGCTCGAAGTGTTGAACACAACTGGAAATGAACAAGTGCAACGTGCAAAGCAAGCACTTCTGTTTTCTCTGCGTTGCCATATGATTGGTAATGCTCAAGGGCCCTGTGGACCCGAATGAATAGTGCCGATGCACCACAAAAGCCCAAATGCAACGGGCGATGCAGGCAAGTCCCAAATGTAAATGATGTTCCCGATGACTTCCTGGCAATCACTGAGTTTGCACTGATTTGGTGGCACCAAATTCACACCCTGGTTGATGAATTTTGGTGATTCCCCCAAATAATGGTAAATGGCTACTGAAGTTGTACCCCCCCAATTAAACAGCCGGGCCTAGTGCTTTATTAATCTGGGGTTGACATTACTTGTTAAACATGGTTCTTTCCCATAGCTATGCAGCAAATTGCCAGAAGGTATTCACCCAAAGAACCGGCAACCCATGTCTTCCAGTGACGGATCTGCGCACCGAAGAGCGCGTTGAAGAAGGAAGCGTCACAAAAGATACGCCACCTGGGACGTTACACCATGATAACGTGGTTTAACCAGCCAAGATGTGGTTTTCATGGTCAAACATGGTGGTGTAATGGTGGTCTAGCCATTCAGCATTGGTGAAGAATTTGAATGTAACCAAAAGAAAATGATTCTTGATGGGATTGAATGGGCTTGAACTGACTTAACTATGAACTTATTGGAGCTATATAAACCCTTCCCCCTAGCTTTTATCCCTTCACATTACACACACCCGGAAGCAGAGAACTGTACCAAATAGGGGCCCCAGTTTTCCATGTAAAATGGCTGCGTTTTTTTTGGTAATTTATGTCGTTAATATTCAGATTTTTTTTGTTGTCTTAAACATGTTTCTGTGTTGATTTTGTTTACTTAGTCCTGCTACATTACAAACCTATATTATTTGGTTCTTGTTTCACTTGATTCATTAAAGTGATGAAATAGTAAAACAGTAGTGTTTCAAGGGCCCCATTTTTTTAATTGTTCTGCCACGTTTTTTTTGCAATGGAAATCGTTGTTTTATAGGAGATGAAATTGCATATTGGGACCCTGTAGGGGTGTTTAGCATGAAGCAGATGGGATTAGTGTAGCTGGCACCCGTCCCCCAGAAAGCCGTGTAATTTTGTACTTTGTGGATCTTTGTGGCACTTTTGAATCTTTTGAGGGTTTGGCTGGGGTGGGGTGGGGCAAAAACGTTCTTTCCTCTACGTTTTCACATGACGTTCTTGATAGTACGCTGTGGACCTTTTATATACTGTATCTTGTTACTACGTTATTTGATAGTACGCTCTTGATGTTAACGTTCTTAAATATCTTGTGACTGCGTTTTTGGTACTAGGTTATGGACGTTCTTACATATCTTGTTACTATGTTATTGATAGCACGCTCTTGATGTTAATCCATATCTTGATACTACGTTATTTGATTGTACGCACTTGATGTTCTTACATATCTTGCAGCTTTTTTGCAGAAACTCCTGTCTTGGTTGTCTGCAAAGTGACCAAATGCGTCCGAAAAAACAAGTGTTCAAGTTGAATTGAAGAATTGAAGATGTTCAAGTGTTAAAAAACATTGCGAAACGTGACTCAAAATGATAACGCATTAAAGACCACCATTGGAAATCGTCCGAAGCGCAGAGAAAATTTACATTGCTAAAATCCTCATAACACAAGAAACCTTCAAATGATCGCAATTACCCTGGGAAGTAGAAGTCTAGAACAAAGAGACGTTGACAAGAGATTCACACCACCATCACAATTCCGCACGGCCGGCTATAGGACAGGAACCTACTTAATCCAATAATAAACATCCCCCCCAATATTACCATAAACGGTTGTACGAACCATCACCAAGTGATAGGTCCGATAGGTCTACTTATAGATACACCACACATTCATCAATCAATACTACATAGTCGTCTCATATACTTGAGCCCATAAATATATACATATACATATATTATATATATAATATATATATATGTGCAAAATTCTATTGTAAACTTATATTTAGATTCATCACACCAAACAGAACTACACATGGGAAGGTAAAACCAAAACTGTTAGCCACTTGCTAAGTGGGACGGTCCTCTAAGTGGAAGCAACCTTTTTTGGTCCAAACCGTCACCAGCATCTGTCTTCTAAGTGTTTGTATCTCATCAGGGAGATTGCACAAAACAAGTCAAAGTAATTCGGATGCCGTAAGTGAACATTTCAACCAAAACAATTGGATTTGATTGCCCTCCAATGAAAGAAAATATGGGAAACGTTTGTCGATCATTCTCCATATCCATGTTGATTTGGCAGTGGGCTTGAAAGGTGGTCCCGGGCACGCGTACACGGCTACAATGCACGAGTCCAAGAAAATATGCTTGGATAAATGCTGCATGCACGCAGAGTCCTTGGCCAAGACATTGCCCATGTAGGTGAAAGGAGGGATTTTCATACCAAAAGTGCGTGGTGCTGACGCCTTTCACAAAAAAAGGGTGAACGAGATTACTTGGGTGGCTGTGAGCTATCTACCAGTTGTTCGACACAAGGTGCGCAAAACCACGTGATAGCAACCCGTTTGTACAATACCTGGAAACGACAAACGTATGCAACGAAGGAACCCGGGAGCAGTACTGGGGAGATAGCTGACCTAGTGCAACAATATAGAACAATAAGATGATGGCACACGCTTTGTCCAGAAAAAGGACGCCCCCAAAAAACAAGCGGGGATTATAAATTATACATACATACATATATATATAATATATTTAACATTATTCAAAATTATATTTATGACATTATGTTATATTATTTTAAATTACATAATATTATAAGATATATGATACTATATTTTATATTATATTAAAATGAAATAACATGATATTATATTAAAATATATTATATTACATTAAATTGAATCATATTATATAATATTAAATTAAATTTCATAATATAGGCTATTATATTATATCATATGATATTAAATCAATTTATTTAAAAATAATATTTTAGTATATTATATTGTATTATATTATACTATATGATATTATATTTTATATTATATTAAGTTAATATATATATATATACTTGTGGACTATGGAGGTTCCCTAAAATTCGGGGTGTAGTTTAGTTTTGAATCCCATGGTTTTGGGGATCCCCCATTTTCAGAGCCCCCCAATAATATTATTTTCTCTTAACATGTCATATGTCAATTTGAAGTCTTTTGCGGCCACCATTTTCTTGTAAACCCCCAGGTGCGTTCACCACACTTCCCCGTGGGGTGAGAGGCACATTGTGCAACTCCAGTACGGCAATCAAAGATGGCAATCACAAATCATCCATTTACAGTATTGATAGATGACGTTCCCATATCAAGCTCCATTTATACCATCTGGTTATTTAACATAGCCATGGAAAATCACATTTTTTTAATAGGTAAACCACCTATAAATGGACCATTTTCCATGGCTATGTTAAATAACCAGAGGGTAAGCATTGATAGGGAATTTTCTACTGCCACGTTTGATTCCCCGAGGGAAATCAATCATGCCTAATCTGTAGCTGTGCTTTTGTTTGGTGCACCTTTTCCTGCGGGATGGGCTTCTGACAAGTTTGAAAAAGGACATGCAAACAATGAACTGGGATTACTGAAATCGGCACATCACCAAACGTTTCCCCTGTTCAAACTGCAGTTTGACAACCAGTATGTCAATACGCCCTCCAGTAATTATCAAAAGTTAACAATATCAGATCTGTATGGATCTGACAAGCCTCAAAAACTGAATCATTTTTCGAACGGAAAAGCAATGGATTCACTTCATCAGTGACGATTCAGCGTTTTCCTCACGTCTACGGAACCATGGTCCAAGAATCATCAATCCCCAGCGTTTCTGTCAGATCGGTAGGTGCGACGGCGCATGGCCCAGGTGAAGGATGATACATGGCAGCTTTTCCATGGCGCCATTCCTGCAGCAATTTTTGGAGCGCTGCGAAAGGTGGAAACTGTTTTTTTCCCTCTATGGGTCCACAACAAACATGGGGTTTCAGACGTTTATTTTGCACTAATGTATCCGCATAATGCGACATGGTGAGACCCAGAGTGACATACAGTGACAAGGGATTGATGTGGTAAATCCCTGTCAGTGCAAGGAAACATGTTATGGGTTGGTTCTTGATATCTATGAAATGGTAAGCAATTGGATCAATGGAGTGTGTGCATACACACACAAATATATATATATATGTACATATATATATATATTATATATATGTACGCATATACATATGTATATATATATATATTATATATTTGTACGCATATACATATGTATATATATATGTTTGTATATATATATATATGTTTATGTAAATAAATATATATATATATATATATATGCGTAGCCATACTTGGCTCGCCAGTAAGCAAGCTACAGCATTGTATTCATACTTACCTCAAAGCCCATCCAAGCAATTTTCACATGAGAAAAACACCTGACTGGACCTGGAACGCCATCTCTCGAACAAGTCTCGCCGGCACCGCACCTATCGATCCACTATTCTTGCACTTGAGCTTCATACCCTCCGGTAATTCAAGATAACATAAGATAACCACGTATAGGAAATGGATGAAGTTGCCCATTGAGGTCGATGGTTTACCTATTAAGAATGGTGATTTTCAAAAGCTATGTTAATTTGCCAGAAGGGTAGATCCCATGAAGCAGAGATATCAGTATTGAATCTGAATGGATATTAACATATAATAATATTAACCATTGATTCATCATTATTTACCCTCTGGTAAACTCACATAACTATGGAAAATCACCACCTTCGTAAGTAAATCAACCAACTACATGGGGTATTTTCAATAGCCATGTTAGTTTACATACCATATGATATCAATATACAATCTGAACTGATATTAACATACAAAAATATTAACCATTGATTCATCATTATCAACGCGGACCCTTTGGCAGGATTTTTTCGCCTTCCAAAAGGGTTTTTCCCTGTCATAAAAGGAGTTTTGGACAGTTTCATCATTATTTAATGGATATCAATGGATCAACGCATTTCCCTTGGCGTTTGCCCATCGGCGCCCGTCCAGCAAACGTGGTAATGCCAATCCAGCAACCGCGGCACCCTGACACAGGCTGGGGATGCACACCTCACCACGGTGGTAGTCCCGGTCATCCAATGTGGCCGGGGAAATCCTCTACAAACAATGGGAAAACCATAGGAAACTATGGGAAAAATGGGGAAACACCTATAAATGGAGGCTTTAAAGGGAAAATCATCCAACTAAATGGAGGGGACTTTCCAGGAAGCCGTGTTTGAGTACCAAATTAAGGGTGCTCCCCCAACCAAGTGGTAGTTTTTTTGCGACTAACATGCTACTTGCCTTTAAATAATTATAGTAATTAATCTTGCTAAACCAAATCTGACTCAAGCAAAGGCACATCCGGCCACAACTCCGTTGCAAACATGGGTTCATTCCGATTCATTCTTTTTTAACAGCAAGAACGAGCCGAATAAACTAGATAGGGCTTTCGCACTGCAGCCCTAGCCTTTCTCTTCAACCCTATTCTTCCTTGCACGTTCTCCATAAACATTGCCTTTGGTTCGATTGATGTAAATATATACTATTATACATGTATAAATAAAATATACTATATATATATTATGTGTTTGATTGTTTGCATGTTTGACATTCAGCTGATCTTTAGCTGTTTTGTATCCACAGAATATGTCCCCGGAAGGGGGGGCAAAACAGTGGAAGTTCGACACAGAGATCCTCTGATCAAAGGCACGCTGATTAGTATCACTTCGTGCCAACCTCCGCTACGTGAGGTTTCTGGGGCTGCAACGACCTTGCGACAACGGTGGTCACGGAAGTCAGGACTCATTCGATCGAGTTGGCTTGAAGGCTGGCACGATGTGATGTCAACTACTCAGCTAAGTTGGCAAACGTACCAAGGTTGACTAACATTGACTAACTAGGGTTTATGATGTTTGTGGTGGACTCCATCATGAGAGAGAGATATATATATATATACATATGTGTGTGTGTGTATGTAAATATGTATACAGTGAATGAGGTTTTATAAAGGAGCTTGTAATCACCTTGTAACTTTTGAGAAGCTGGGCCGTCTATCAATGCGAGGGCGTATCACCTGCCATAGATTTGGAACGTCTCCTTTGGTGAATTAGGGCTTTCCTGAACGAAGGGGTACCCCAAATCATCTAAGTCATTAGACCATGATTATTGAAACAACTCCGGTGGCTTGGGATACCCCCATTTTAGCAAACCTCTAATTATCTTTCAAAACTTCAGAGGTCCATCACGGTTCCTCACCAACAAGCGTTGCTCCGGTCCCACGGTTCAGGGCCAGGGCGCAGCCAGATAGCGAGGACTTAGGAACATCTCCTGTCAGATTCGAAGCTTTGTTCAGGTGGGATGGAACCACAAAGCATTGGAAAGGACCAGAAATACCCAGAAATCATATAGAAATCAAATAGAGATTTTGGAACACCCCATTAGAAAACACTAATAAGGCACCACATATAGATTGGCTGTTGCCCTCTCTCTCTCTGTGGGGCGTGTTCGTAGCCCAAGTTTCGGCCCCACTAAGGTGCTCCGGCCACGAAGATTTTGTGCCGAGCTTGCTTTTAGGTTGTTCTTTGCGCTCATCTATGAATATATATATATATATTAATTAGGTTGTTCTTTACAGTATATGTATACACATTTATAATATAAATATTATATATATATAATATGTATGTATATATATATACGTGTGTGTCACCGACGGTGGACAGGTATACCTCACATCTATAAAGAGGGCCACCATGGCCACAGCGTCCGTGCCTGGAAGGTCAGTCCATTGTCGTTGCACCTCGCTGGGTCCGAACCTCAGCATCCCATAAGGAAAGCAGCGTTTCATCATGCACATCTGCACTCAAAAAATGTCATCTACCAGATGACTCTATATAGAAATAATTCATATCATATAAATAAATATATATATAAACATACATGTATGTATATATACATATATATGTGAATGTATGTTCCTTCCATACATGCATATACATATATATATACATATATATATACATATATATATGGTTGTTGATCAAAATTCCTTTATCCCGGAACGGCCATTCTTCGCGAATAAACATTTTACTTTCGCGAACTCCATGTTTATCTTTCGCGGGGCCCATGTTGGCCAAGAAAACCTATTATGAAGATTTGTTCACCACCTGCCAAATTACGCCAGAGAATCACGGATCACTTCTTGGTAGCCTTTTAAACATGCAGCTAGCATCACGGAATCCCTTCTCAGGACAGATTTTTTTTGGCAAAGTTTACTGGCCCACCCCCTTCAACATGCACTTTGACTTTCGCCCGCTCTTTCGCATAACTTTCGCGGAACTTTCGCGAACATATCCCTATTCACAGACCCCGGCCATCAGCAGGGTGTGCACTGAAGGAAAAGCAAAGACCAGGGGCCTTGGTGTTTGGCTCTCGCAAAGCCTCACTTTTGGAAACTTGGCTGCTGCTACTCGCATTCTCTGGTGCCCTTCTCCTGCCGGACCCCGGGCGGCAGTGGGTGGCAGCCCTTTACATATACCTAGAGACTCGAGCGGCATCAAAATTTTGATGCTGGTCTAGCAAAACAGTGTTTCATCTGATTGCCGCTGAAATTTCTGGCATGCGCCGTTCTTTGGGAAACAAATATGGTTTTAGATTTTGGTGTTGGAATGCGCCATTTTTGCCAATGATTGCACCGTTTTTGCCCGTGATTGCGCCGTCCTTGCCCGTGCAGAATTTCCATTGCGCCGTTTTTGTGGAATTGCGCCATGTTTTCTACATTGCGCCATTCTTGTGGACTTGCGCCTGATTTTTTTGTAGGTTGGGAATTGGGAATGCGCCCGAAATTTTGGATACATGAGTCTCTAGGTATAATGATTATAATACCCAACTTTCGCGAAACTTTCGCGAAATAAAATTTTACTTTCGCGAACTCGAAAAAAAACTTTCGCGAGGGTTTCCAACATAACATGCACGGCTTTCGCAATTAAAACTCCTTACCAGGACCTTTAGATCGATCACCATATATATATATATATCACACCAAATATTTTGCTACAAATAGTGCTATCGCACCAATGTTGACAGAGCCTGAAAACCACGCATCGATGCCAGAGGGATGGTGAGCCAACAGAAAGTGGGATTCAAAATGATCCAACCATATCTAACCTTGGGGTTGAACGAACAATGAATACATGTGCATTTCGCCAACCAAACTCTACCAAAACTTGGGGCTGTACAAAACCTCACCAAACTCCATGTATCTGACGAATAGGCCGCCCCCAAATGTGATGGTTAAGAACATAACTTCCAAAAAAAAAAATTCTTTGGAAACTCCACCATTTTCAGACCCCATTCGGTTTTTCATTGGTTAAGTCCACATTTCTGGTAAAACCACCATGTTCAGCTATTCTTGTTAGGGTTAACCACCATTTTGCACTCTCTCATGGATAAACCACAATTGTCTGCTGTTCTTGTTGGGTTAAACCACGATTTTCCCCTATTTCAAATCGTTAAACCACCATGTTCCACAATTCGTGTTGGGTTAAACCACCGTGTTCCTCTACTTCTGATGGTCAACCCACAATTTTCCACATTTGTTGTTTTATTTTTACATTTTCCCACCATTTCCTGCTACTTCTGATGTTAATTAAAAAAAACTATAAGTCACCATAAGCCACCATCTTTTTTAACAATTTTTGTTGGGCTCATTTCAACCACAGTTTTCCATGATTTTCGATGGTTCAACCACCATTTTTCACTATTTTTGTTGCTTGAACCAACCTTTTCCACTACCTCATGGTTAAAAAACCACCATGTTTCACCACTTTTGTTGGTGAAACCCGGTTAAACCACCATTTTTGTTGGACCACCATTTTTGTTGGTGAAACCCAGTTAAACCACCATGTTTCATGGTCAGATTCGCCAGGCCGCGCCCGAAGACCATGGTCTCCCAGAGCGCACTGGCATGCCCACCCGCAGCGTTCAAGGCCATGGCACACTGGGCGAACTGCCTGGCCGGATGCGCCGCGGACGTCATCTGATTAAACATAACAATAATATTGGTATATAACACTAACATACACTACCAATATAATAATAATGACAATAATTAGTAACAATAATAAGAATGAAAATCTTGCATCAATGGATTGATTTAAGGGAAAATTGAAACCGGAAACCCCAATATTTAATGGTAAAAAACGGGGGTATGGCGGCGACCGGCTGGCCCGACCGGGCAACCGGCTGACCGGGCCCGGTCCGGGCCCCCCCTGCCCGGTCAGCCGGTTGCCCGGTTGCGAGTGCCTTCGTCATGTGAGTCCGTGTGGGTATGGAAAATCATCTGCGATCCAATGATAACGGGATATAAATTGGGATATAAAAATAGGATTGGATTGGAATCCTGTTCCACAGAACTTTTCAGGGACCCCCAGTGCACCCCCTTTCCGGCTTCCCATACTATCCATACTACTGGAAGTGCTTGTGGAAGTTTCAGGCTATCATAGACTTGGTGTTCCGATCTCTTTGTTATCGGATGTGAATTTCTTTGGATCCTGATAGTGGATTGGTAGCATGGAATGTTTAGTTGGGACCGTATGTAGTAATGTGTGTGTTTATAAGGATTGGTTTCTACACCGTCGCGCTGAAGTGAACATATTGAACCGACTATCTTTCACAAGATATTCGACTGTGCAACACCTTGAGCTTCAGTCAGTGTCCACCAAATCATAAACATTACATGTCTACTAGAAAAGGTACATTGACGCTCACATGTGGCAGTCCCTAATTTGAAGGCACATGACCTTGAGATTTCAAGCAGATATGGATTGAATTTCAAAGGGGCCACAAGTTTCATTTTTAACATGTTTTGAAGTTTTAACCATCCACTTTTGGGACCCTACTTTGGATTTATATCCAATTCACCAAAAACAGGTTTGCATACTGTACCTCCAACATGGAACCCCAGAGTCTGGGTGTCTGGAAGATGAGATTCCAGAAATGCCTTGAGGGATCAACAGCGCCATTCTCCGCCTCACGAAAGTCCTCGAACTTCAACGGATGCCGAGGGAAGAGTCGCCATTGAAACAACCGAAAGAATGGGCGTAACCACCAAAGATGCGGCACTTAGCTGAAAATGGGGGGCCAAACAACAACTTGAATCTTCGACTGAGGTGAGGGGCCAATTCACCAACATGCAGGCCCATACTCTATTTCGGATTTTGTTAAAAGAAAAAACACAGAAATGCCGGCGCCCGGGTCCTCATCCTTTGGCATTGGTGCCCAGGGACATGCGCCATATGCACCAGCATCTTGGTACGCGCCAGCAAGGCGAAGCGCAAAGCCAGCAACATGGCGAAACATGGCGTCGCATCACCATCTGGTTGGTGGTGCAATAACCATCTTGAAAAATATGAAAGTCAATGGGAAGGATTATCCGATATATTATGGAAAATAAAAATGTTTGAAACCACCAACCAGCCATTCTTTGAATATCTTTGAGCCTATGTGGGTGGATGAGTCTTGTCTCTGTAGAAATTTGGGATCCAACAAGAATAAAGAACACATCCATTTTGGGCACTGCATCGTGTCGAAGATGGCCCAGAAATGGGACCAACCACCGACAAGTCTATGGCATGGTCTGCACTGATTTCCTTACGGAATGAACGAGTTTGAAACTGTGGATTGGCAGGGTCCGACTCTTTGGACATTGAAACACACGGAGAGCCATGTTTCTTGTTGATACTGTGAGAGTGGAGAGGTGCCCAATAACTTTTGGCCAATCTTAATATCTTTAGATGTCCATCGAAAAATGACATGTTAGCTATTTTTAGTAAACATTTAGATGGTAAATATGTGTAAATATCTTAGATGTCCTTCTTTCAATATCTTAGATGTCCTAAATATTCTAGTTGGTAAATATCTTGCCCATCCAGGATGGACCCAATGACAGGGCAACATCGGTGACGAATTGAAACTAACCTGGTTGGTGTCCCAGAAGTGGTTTGATGCTCCATTTACACAAGGATATACGGTATACGCATACATGCGAGTATACATGTGCATTATATATATATAATATTTTTATCTATTCATTTATTTATTTATTTATTTATATTCTTTATTTATTTATTATGTTGAAAACATTGCACACGTATAGAATCATATAGAACTATAGACACCGCAATTTGCTGAACAGAAACCGTATGGTGGCATGATGGTCTACACAAAATCACCGAAACAGTGCAGAGATGCACCGCAAATTTCCTCGCGGAACCTGGGACTTGGCAGCAGGTCCCCTTTGAAGACAAGATACCTTGACAAGACCAGGCTCCTTGTTGCCTAACTATTGAGAAGTGCCACAGGGGTTCCAAACCAAGCCGGATTCTACATCATATGTACATTAATATGTATTGATTATACGGTAGCTGTAAATGACGTATGTAAACGACAACGAGTTGTGGACCTGGATTTCTGATGGTATAGTATGCTGCTGTAAATTTGCATCGGATTTGCTCCAAGCGCTTTTTGCAAGACCAAAACATCCTCCTCTGCAGCACCCCTGATTTCTACAGTCACCTTTCGGTCGCGAAAATCGTTGAGACAGCCCCATCCGGTCGCGTCTCGGATGGATCCCTCAACCGTGTCTTTGATCCTTTGTCAGACTCTTGAGGGACTCCTTCGCAAAGGGTACCACGTGGTAATGAAATACGCAAAGGATTTGCTCGAGGCACCCCACAAAAACGACATGATCCCATACAATCTCAACTAGTTTCCCAATTATTGGTGAATCGATCAATGGGAAAAGGTCAAGAAGTCACCACCGACTAAGAAATTCCAGGAAGATATTGTCAGTGTGTTTTTATCAAATTTATATCCCATCATGTGTATTATATATATATAGTAAAGCTCTATATATATATATATATGCACATAATTACATGATATTACATGTAAATAATCAACCATCATTTACCAGGTATAAATATAATATATACCCACATTTTTTATGCTTGAAAACCCTACAATAATGACTAATTCCCATTACTCACCGTTTTGTTGCTCAATACCACCCATGTTTCCCTGTACTCTGTGTTGCTTAAATCCAATGTTTCCGTATATTTCTGCTCCCATGTTCCTCCAATTCAAATCTCAAATTACCGATGGTTCCCCATATTTCTGTTGGTTCTTTCCCATTCCTTAAGTACTTCATGTTTCTCCATGTGGGTGTTGAAACCCCACATTCTTGATATTTTTCGCATTAAATAATTCACTAGTCTGATATTACGGCCAGAAGCTGTGTGTTGCCCGGAAGGTTCAAATGGCGTTTAAACATGTTTAAACATTATCCTTCAACATGCTCAAACACCTGCGCAGGGCCAGTGTTTTGAGATTTCCAAGACGACGAACCCTAAACCCTAAAACCCAAAACCATCCTAACCCTAAAACCCCAAACCCTAAAACCCTAAACCCTAAAACCTAGGCTCTCAAAACTTTGAATCCTAAACTGGAAAACACTGTGTATATGCAGTATTTTCTGCAATCTCTCCAATCATATATTCGACAGCACGACATTCTCAATGTTAATGTCTGGGCAACACACGGCATCTGTGGGTGACATTAGGTTATTTTGATTATTTTGAGATGATCCCCCATACCAAGCATAATCCCTTATTTAGACACATAGGGGATGAAATCACATGTTTGGTACCATTCAACACACAGGGGATCCAATAAAATGTAAGTGAGTCAAAATCCATAACTCAGCAACATCACTAATTATATAAGGATATCCCACCAATTTATCGTTATTAAGCATTATGAATAAACCATCATCAGGCACTATTATCTGCTCTTAATTAATGAGTTCAGTCAACTATATTTAACTACTATTAAATCATAATTAACTACTATTAAAATCTATCAAGTATATTAACTACTGATTAAATTTCCAATCTATTCATCCGCAGGTTTTCGCGGCGCGGCGTCCTTCAGTTCCTTGATCTCTTTCACGAGGTCCTCCTCGCCTAGCGCCTCGCGAAAGCTTCTCCACTCACCTCCGGGTGAATTAAAACTCGACTGTTTGGAGGCTTTCCGGTCAAGATTTTCAATGGATTGGTTTAAGGGAAAATCCACAGGAAACCATGGTTTTTACCATCAAATATAGGGGTTTCCTGTAAATTTTCCCATCATCCAATTCTATGAGATTTTCCGAAACCAAATGAATCGGGATATGTAAGCACTATGCTTATGCAGGTTCATGATGGTGAATGGAACCAAAGTGTCAGTGGATGAACAATGGGATTTTCATGGATTTTCACCATCAAAGATTGGGGGTGAACATGGTTTACAGTCATGGTTTACAGTATCTATCAAAAATGGGGACATTTGGTGAGATCATGCAGTTGCAGGGAAAATCTTCACCGGAAACTGGTGAATTTCCTGATAAATTCCCACTTTTTCAGGATTTACAAGTGAAACCTCAATGTGCGTGCACAAACACACACACAGCTCTATATCTATATATCTATATATCTATATATCTATATATCTATATATCTATATATCTATATATCTATATCTATATCTATGTACGTATGTACGTATGTACGCACGGACGTATGTATGTATGCACGTATGTATGTATGTATGTAGGTATGTATGTATGTATGTATGTACTGTAATGATCTGTAACGTAATGTAATGCAATGCCGTGCCATGCCATGCCATGCAATGGTATGTATGTATGTTCGTAATGCAATGCAATGCAATGCAATGCAATGCAATGCATGAATGTATGTATGTAGTGTATGTATGTAGTGTAATGTAGTGTAATGTGGTGTAATGTAGTGTAATGTAGTGTAATGTAGTGTAATGTAGTGTAATGTAGTGTAATGTAGTGTAATGTATTGTTGTATGTATGTATGTATGCATGCATGCATGCATGGATGCATGGATGGATGTATGTAATATAATGTAAAATAATGTAAAATAATGTAATATAATGTAATATAATGTAATATAATGTAATTTAATGTAAAATAATGTAAAATAATGTAATATAATGTAATATAATGTAATTTAATGTAAAATAATGTAAAATAATGTAAAATAATGTAATATAATGTAATATAATGTAATATAATGTAATATAATGTAATATAATGTAATATAATGTAATATAATGTAATATAATGTAATATAATGTAATATAATGTAAGATAATGTAAGATAATGTAATATAATGTAATATAATGTAATGCAATGTAATGCAATGTAATGCACTGCAATGCAATGTAATGCAATGTAATGCAATGTAATGCAATGTAATGCAATGTATGTATGTATGTATGTAATTATGTATTTATACGTGTGTGTACATATGTTGGTATGTGTGTGTGTGTCTGTCTGTGTTGTGTGTGTATATGTGTTCTCCCTCTCTTTTCTACAAGTCTTATCCAATCCAATCTATATAAAACCTGATCCAATCTATCCATTTATCTAAATCGAACGGTGCAGTCACACTACGCGTATATATATAATATACACACATAGTTCTATTGAACATATCTATGCAATACACACGTTTGCATATGCATAAATATGTATATATATATATATCTATAACTCCTGACAACTTCCAGCTTCAGCGCTCCCCAGCTTCAGGCAGCCTGACATCGATGGCGAAGATAAATGCTTTGTCAAAGTCTTGCGACTTCCTGGTGAAGTTGATGACATCGATACGCTCCGTCTCAGCCGGTGCTTGTTGGGCTCGTTGGAGGAAGGCACATGGCTATTGAAATGGCTGAGATGAGAATAATAATAACTGGTTGGTAGTATACCTACCCCTCTAAAGAATATGAAAGTCAGTTGGGATGATTATTCCCAATATATGGGGAAAAAAACATGTTCCAAACCACCAACCAGTGATAATAATCCATTCGCATTTTTTGTAGCTAATCTTCAGACAAACCCACATGACTTTGGGAAACTGACATGCTCCATGTTTTGAGCAAAACGTTGTTTTCTCTTCTTTGTTGGCCAGACTTATTTTTCCTGAATGATGCGCCCAAATGTGCAGAAAACTGTTTGCTTCAAACGGCTCTTGGATATTTAAACACTCTCGCTAAATATGAACCTGACGATCCTAGCTGCTCGGATGGCCCAAGAGTTCAGGCAATTCAGGTTGGCATTTTCTTTTACTACTGTATATGTATGTATACATGTATAGTGTAGCGATGGAAGGCTCACGCGCGATACGTTTGGGCATCGAACAATTCTTTTGGCGCCTCATGGCTTGACTGCAGGAAGTGGCAGAACTGGGAGGCAAATCCCAGGCATTTCGTCTACAAAGTGGTTCCCTTACAGACATGTTTCTAGTTTTTTGTTATGCCCATGAACTACTTCGATATATCCAGCATAAACCCACCAGCTATTGGAGTTAGTAATCAACAAGCAGCATCATCATCAGTTCACGGCACCGCCTGCAACTACCCTGGGGCGTTAGCGTCCGCTCTGTCCGCTCTGTCCGCTCCACCAAGGCTCTGCTTCGGCACTCGAGCGGACGCTCCCGAACTTGTCGCTGAGGGTGGTCCCTGATAGCTGCTGGATCTCAACCAGTGCCTCTTGCCATGACCTGCCGTCGGCAAAAAATCATTGACAAATGGGATGTTAGATATTGGGTGACAAAAGATCCTCAAAATGGGGCCCAATTTTGGAATCATATATGATTCGATCATATATGCAATCCATTTCGAAGGAATGATAGTTTTGAACTGGACCCATACTTAGATCATCATGTTCTGAACGATGCGCTGTCCGAGTTTGGGTATCTAGTCCACAAGTTGACCAAGAACCGCTTTTTATCCATGGATGGGCGAGAAAACGAAATCACAGCTCGAGCCACATGGTATAAACATGGATTTAAAAAGGTACTATCGTCTATAATGTGGGTAAAACAATATATCCTCCAAATCACCATAATCGGTGCTGTAAACCATTCCCAACTGGGTGGTTTATTATTGTTTTGCCCAGATTAATCTATCGTTGTCCTTTTTATTATCCTCCAGGATGTAATTCCTGGGGTCAGAACTGCTTCCCCACATCTACTGCTGGATCTCCAGCCTTGCCTCATTCCAGCCTCTCAAATGATATGTATAATTACCGATTTATTTATGTGTGTGCATACATTTTTTCAAAAAAAACGCGCGCACATGTGTGTATGCATATATATATATCTACAATTGTATAATTGTGTAGAAACACAAATCTGCAAGGTTCAAACTTGTTGATCCTTCAAACGAAAGAAAACAAAGGCCACACAAACATTCTCCAAACCTCAGAGCGCCGGCATGTTCGCTTTCTTCCCTTTACATGCTGGGAAAATGATGAAAAATGGTGGGCAACCTGATCTTGACATATCTTGACCACCTTACTTCCCCGCCCAAAAATCCATCCCCGTCATTTTTACTGCCCACTACCTGGTTCAATCTAAATGTCGTCGACGATGTTCTGCAGAAAAAACGGTCCCAATTTTCTCTGATTAAATCCAATTTTACTCCGGTAGGAAATGCAAATCATTGCCTGCGGGTTATATAAATCGAATTTCTGACAAAGTTTTGGAAAAACTTGGTGCTGTTCTATATTCAGAACCAGAAACACCTAAAATGCCGATGGCCATCCTAGATACCCTGCACTTTCGAGTAGATACAGAAACAATCGCAAAATAACAAATCAGTACATATCATGTCTATCCATCAAACATTAATATTTCTCATCATATCATATCATCTCAAAATCACATACCATACATATCCATCACTGGTTGGTGGTTTCAACCCCTCTGAAAAATATGAGTTCGTCAGTTGGGATTATCATTCCCAAGATATGGAAAGTCATAAAAATTCCATGGTTCCAAACCACCACCCAGATTATAATCCATGATTTTGCCATTATATGGCCATCATTATTTCACATACAGTATCCATCTGGTTGTGACTAACGTAGCCATGGAAAGATCCACCCATTTTTAAGAACGGTAAACCATCTATTTCTATGGGCCATCTATACCATGGCCATGTTAGTCATAACCAGAGGGTTCCATAAACCCAGCAGTCAGTCATGCCCATAGAAATAGATGGTTTACCGTTCTTAAAAATGGGTGGATTTTAGTCATAACTAGAAGGTATCCATCAAGTTGCGATGATCCGCGCGATCCGTCAGCGACACGGAGCGCGGAACGGGAACGGTGGAGGTACTGGACCTGGGTTCGCCGACCCGGGGTCGGGTCCAGTGGTTGGGCCAACGGGCACATGGGGGTAGAAATGGGGATACTGCAACTGCCATCAGCCATGTCAGGACGTTGAGTCAGCAAGGACGTTCCCCGGTGTCTTGGCTCAGGAGGGGCCCCTTTTTAGTGAGCCATCCAATGTGGCCAATGGTGCAGATCTGACCACTGCGGTCATAGAAAACACAGCGCTCTGTGCGCTTTGCGGTTCGTGCGGTGCTGACTTCCTGAGCTACCCCAACTGCTTCAAGGCGACTGGGATTGAAGGGGAATTAGCCCAATACAATCCACTGTGCTCCCGCTACATTGGTAGCGGAGCACGAAAGCTCCGAGGCCTGTGCTCCAATCCTGTCGAGCGTCACCTGAGGTGACTTGTCCTCCAGATTGGAAAGGCCTGCCTGGTTGGTTTTGGATCTACATCCAGGACACCTTCAACTTTCAACCTTTTGGCCGAGCTCTTTGGCAACTCTTTTCTTTTTGCACTCTCAAGCGACACGGCTTGAGCCCTTGCTGGCCACTTTGGCCCAACTTGCCATTTTGGCATCATGGCTTCTGAGAAGGAGCAGAACGTTCCGGTCTGGGATGGTAGTTCGCGTTCCTGGAGAAGATACACCAGAGAAGCTTGCTGGTATGTGAGGGCTACAACTGTAGAAAAGCGCAGGTACTGCGCAACCAAACTGGTGAGCCGACTGAAGGGTCCAGCCAGACTCTTGGCTATGAGCTGGACCACCATGGAGTTTGACCACGTCAACGGTGTCAGAGACTTGCTGCAACGTTTGGCGACCTCGCCATTAGTCAGGCAGACCTTGCCCAATGCTGCTGCCACATGTCAGCAGTACTTCAACTTCAGGCGAGATGCTGGTGAACAGATGAATACTTTCCTTGTAAGGGAAGCCTTGGGTTACTCTGAGTTTGTGGAGGCGCTCTTGCTGCTCTACGAGGATAAACAGGGAGTCCAACAACATGAGAAGAACTTTGACTTACCTGAAGAACTTCCTCGAGATGATTGGCAAGACTGGTGGCATGACGCTACTGATGAACCTGAACCTGATGCTGCTCCTACATCACCGTCGAGGCCTACAGGCGCTGCTGCTGCGATTTCTTCACCAACGAGGTCTACTTCGGCTGCTGCTGGAGGCGATGGCACTGGGATGTCTCCTACGAGGCAACCACCACGTGCTGCAAGCTTCCGCTCTGTGGGAGTTCCTGGTTCTACGGTGCCACCTGGCTTCGAGACCTCCGACATCAACGAGTTCAGCTTGGCGGACAGTTTCGTCCTTGGGGTGCTACGTGGTTTTCGACTTCTACAAGCTGCGGGGTTGAGTCCTGAAGATAAGAGGGACATCTTAGCTTCTACGAGGTCACAAAGGCCTTGCAGACGCTTTGGGATGAGCAGTTCCTTGGGCGTCAAGCTTCTTCTATGCGGAGCTCTTTGGGAAACTACTTCAATGAGGCCTACCACGCTTCTGAGGAGCCCTACGACTATGAATGGTGGAATGATGAAACCTATGAGAATTACTGGACTGAGCCTGATGCTTGGGATTCCAGTTGGGATTCTTGGCAGGATGCTCAGCATGGCCAACCTGAACAACCTGCTGAAGATCCACCACCTGATGATGCGGCTCTTCAAGACTCACTTCAAGCAGAACGAGAAGCTGAAGCTCTTGCACTACAAGCTCAACGAACATGGACTGAAGCCCAAAAGGCCACCGCTGCTTTGAGACGAGACCGTGGATTTGGACAACAACGTCCACCCAATGATGGCAAATGCTTTCTATGTGGAGGCAACCACTTTGCTAGGGACTGCCCTGACAAGTTCCACCCTGCCTACATGAAAGGCAAAGGCAAAGGCAAGTACACCAATGTCTATGCTGCAGAATGGGAGATGGCCGACGCCTACTACATGAAGGGCAAAGGCAAACCGAAAGGTAAGGGTAAGGGCAAATCCTTCAATGTGGTTGACATGAATGCCATGTGGAAAGGGAAAGGTAAATCCAAGAATGTGCCGAGTCGTCCGGCAGTGAATGCATACACAGCTGAGACCCAGTCCTTCTACGGCCTGGAACTTCGTGAACCACTTGAGGCTCACTCCACTGCTGCCACCAACATGAAGCCGAACCTTGGCCTCCTCGACTGCGGGGCAACTGCTAGCGCTGGGCCTGAAACCAGTGTGCAGAAGCTAATCAGCTCTGTGCTTGCCCAGGATCGTGGAGCTGCTGTGACCATTGCGAAATACATGCGGCCTTATTTTCGTTTTGGGAATGGTTGTTGGGGGCAAGCAAACTTCAGGGTCTCAATCACCTCAAAGGTTTCTGGTTTTGAACGAACGTTTCATATGTATTGTTTGCCGGACCCCAAGAATGGCGACCAAAACAATATGGTTCCAGTTCTACTTGGCATGGATCACCTATCTGGTAAAGATTGTCCTGAATCAGCTTTAACCATCGACTTCAACACGGGCATGGCTTTGGAATCTACGAACCCCCAACCAAATGTTTTTCAACTTCCACGTAACCACAAGGGTCACTACATCAGGGATATTGTCCACTACCTGACTTTGGGGAATAGCAACCATGAGGGGCATCCTACAATACATGTCATGGAGGGTGAAACGCAATCTGCAGAGCTGCAAACTTTGGAGTTTCATCCCGCGGAGTTCTATGATTTGCATGTAGCTGACCGAGTACATGATCAAGAGATTTTGGAAAAATCAAGAAGGCAACTGTTGGCACTTCATGCTCACCAACATGGCCGAGTTGATGCGAATGCTGCAGCCTCTCTGGCTTCAATGTGTCCGCGAGACCAAACTGATCTCCCCAATTCGTTCGCATCTGCTTCCTGCGTGCCGCCTGACCATGTCGCAGGAACTTCACCAAAAGCAAGTTCGGGATGCAATCACTGCTGTGACGCCAAAGGCTCCACCACGGGCATTGGACCCGGAGCGCATGATGGGCTTCGACAGCAGGGATCCACGTGCGGATCCAAATCAATGGCCTTGTCACGGGTCACACACACCAATGAAGCCTCACGGCAATGCTCACGGCCAGTGGGTGCATTGCGCAGTGTGCAACTTGAGGCTCCAGTACACGCCCAAGAAGGGAAGCCACTCAGGTGCAACCAAGGTGGAGAACCCTGCCATGGTGAAGCGCATGTTGGACCGTCTCCAACCTCTGATGGGAGAATGCCGTCCAACCCAACAGATATGCCTGGCGATGATCAAGCTGATCGAGGCGGAAGAAGTGCTTCAGGTCACCATCAACTACGAGAAGGACAAGCATGCGACCATGGGATATGCCAAGGCCAAGGCAAGTCCATCAAGGTCGTCACCTTCAACGACATCTCCGGCGTCGCAATGGAGCGTTGTGGAGAATCCGGAAGCTCTGAGTGCAGAAGATCTTCAACGCCACTTGACGGCCGAGGAGAAGAACCAGATTCAACAGCTCATGCGCGAGCGCCAGGAGAATGCCAACAACGAGAACGAGATGGCCTGAAGTATGACAACGTCTTAAAGAATGACTTCAAGTCTGTGAATGTCGAGGCCTTCAAGAATGCCAACACCCTTGAGAATGACCAGGTGCCTGCGTTTGCCACAGTCCCAAAGAATGTCAAGGTTCCAAAGATTGCCAACAAGAACATCAAGCCTGCGGAGATGACACAACGAATGGCTGCCAAGGTGATGGTGATGTTCACAACTATGATGGCAATGGCATCGGCTTCTTTGACTTCGTTTTCTTTGGATGATCGCGATGGACTTTGGGAGATTGCCTGTGCACCGCATTCATGGCTTTCTGAAGCTGCTGATCGACAAGGACTTCGACCTCGACGCATCAACCTTCAAGCTGGCTATGACCTCTACCGCAAGGAGACCTGGGATCATCTTCGAGCTCTACGCCGCCAACATCGTCCTCGACGTCTTTGGTTTTCGCTGCCTTGTACGTTCTGGTGCCCTTGGACTTCGCTCAACTATGCTGGACCTGAACGACAACAACTTCTTGAAGATCATCGACGACGTGAACGACGAGTCCTATGGCATGTTCATGAGTTTCTGTCTGAGGCCTTAGCTGAAGATCCTGACATACTGGTCTACTATGAATGGCCTCACCCTTGCTTTGGTTGGAAACAGAAACCCCTTCTTGCCATACAAGCTCTTTTTGAACAACATGGGCAAGAATGGAATGACTGCCGCATAGATGGTTGTCGATACGGCATGGTGGACTCCAACAACGAGCTCCTCAAGAAAAAGTGGATGATCAAAACCAATGATGAACTTTTTCATGGCCAATATCGATGCAAAGTTTGTACTGGTGGTCATTGTCATGGCCGAATTGAAGGGCGCGAGACTCAAAAGTCAAGCTACTACCCTTGGAAGATGGTGCAATCGTTTGCTCGTTTTTGGGCACAACAAACGGTTTCAAAACAACAACTGCAGCGTATGAACTTCCATGATGTGGCAACTGTGGAAGACTGTGATGGTGGTGATCTATGTTGCACAAGATGAAGAACCACCTGGTGATCACTCAATGCCGAGCTCTTTGCCTGGCGATGCAATTGTTGCTGCGAACCCTGCTGATGCACCATCAGCTGCTGAACGTGAACGATGGCAAGCCAAACTCAACCACTTCCACCGTTCTTCTGGACACTGTTCCAGCAGAAACTTGGCTCGCATCGTCAAGGATGCCAACCTGGAGAGCTGGAAAGTGCGTGCTGCCCTGGACTTCACTTGTCCAATTTGTGAAGGTCTACGACCTGGTGGCTCTTCAAGTGGAAATGTGCCGCCTGCTGCAACTCATGCGCAGTATGGCCCCTGGCAAGCTTTGGGCTTAGATGCTTCTGAATGGGCCGTGCCTGGCCACAATGTGAAGGTCAAGTTCCTTCTGCTCATCGACTTTGCCACGCGGCTGAGAATGGCAGTTCCTCTCATGGAGCCCTATCCAATCACAGCCTTGCGCACTGAAAGCTCTGCTCAGGTGATTGAA